CACCCGCGGCGCCTGTTGGTCTCGTGATGGTACAGGCATCCTTCCCCAGCGAGCACTTCCCGGGAGCACTGCCAGGGGACCCGTGCCCCCCGCTGGCCGAATAAGCGTGTGGAGTAACTCAGACGACACTACGTACTGATAACGATTTCTAGATGGTTTTCCCCGCCCTGGCTTCCCGCAGGCCACCTCGCTGCTGTAGAGGGGCCCTGCCTTCGCAGCCACAGAAGGGAGTGGGAAAGGAGATAGGCCCAGGCCCGGCGGGAAGCCAGGCCTGGCGGTAGGGTGCTGGTTTGCAGGAGGCTGCTTGGCCGGGCTACGGCTTGAAGGGCTGCGCGCCTGCGGAGGGTTGTGGGCGGGGTAGGGGGTGGGGGCGGAGGAGGTTGTTGGGGAAGGCAAAGAGCTCGACCGCAGTGAGTGATCCGGAGGACGTTCTGGTAGCGGGGACCCAGTTCCCGGGGAAGGGCCTGCCTTCCTCTGGGGATGTGGCGGTTCTCAGGTTGTTAGGTCGGCGAGAGGGCGCTGAAGGCAAAGGTTGTGAATTTCCTTGTAGTTGCTCCGCACCTAGGGAAAAGAGAGTTGGTCATTCCTTAACACCCGGTGAGAGTGCAAGCGATCTTTGCAACTGAGCGCCGAGGTGTGGGCCAAGGCGATTCCCAGTGTGTCTATAAATTAAAGCTCAGCTAACCAAGTAAATCAAATTCGGAAACTGGCTTTTAAAAAGTTCACCCTCCCTCCCAAAAATTGTTACACCAGAGAGCAAGAGAATACGGTTGTACTGCCCACAAGAGACTTTTTGGTACCTCCAGGACCATGTCACCACACAACTCGGTAGCTCCCAATAAAACGGCTCTTCAGAAGAGCGCATCAACTAAGTTATGGTTTGCAACCTAACCAGTAGCCTGGAATCTTCAGTTCCTTCCCAGACCTGGATGAATAAGTGTTTCATTGGAAGCTGTTGAGCAGGGAGCTGGAGTACTGCAGTTGAGGGAGGAGGAACCAACCGAATGCTTCGAGAACTGGAAGATGCTGTCTCTTCCATCTCCCCAGAGTGCTTTATAAGAGATGGCTCTGCAACAGTCCCCAGCCTCTGATTTCTTGACCAAGGCCCTCAGTCTGGCCCAAATACACGATCTTGGCTAGGAGCCAGAGGATATGACGGTCAAGGGATGTTCTCAAGGAAGAAAGAAGAATTACTGCCTTTGGATAAGCAAACTTTTCTCCGGCTGGACAGCAAAGCGTTTCTGAAGGTCGCCGGGATACGTTTTCCCGCACTTAACTCCAAACCAGACCGCTCTCTGGGCTCTGCTGCACTTGAAAAAAGGCGATTGATTGTTCTACCCTATTGTCAGGCCTCGGCCCCCAGAACGGGCACCGATGCACACCCACCCCATCCTGAGATGCACGCAAAGGGCATCTCTTCGGAGAGTTGGGTCCTAATCCAGCCGGATACCCCGAAAAAGGTCCCCCATGAGCTGAGAAGGAATCAACGTTCCGCCCCCGCTCCCGCCGCTGTGAGCGATGGGATAGCCCCTCTCCTACCCTGCTCTACCAGTTGCTCTATGGCACAACACAACAACTGCTCGAGTATACTTTGCCGGTATGAGACCCTCCGGACACCTAATTTCTGCCAAGGCTGGAAACCGGAGGAGGCAAGAGTGGGAGTGCACTGTGCACCCGGGGCCCGCCAGGCCAACACGCTAGAGCCCGGGTCCCCCGGGCTTTGCGCTAACCAGCCCTCTAAGGATAAGCACCACTTCTGCCCCGCGGCAAAACCTGCTACCTCTCCCTGAAGGGTTGGGGCGACCTCGAAGCCCGGGAGGGAGGGGAGGGGCGCCTCTAGGTGAAGTTTCCAACCGAAGCCAACAAACGGCGCTGTTGCCACGCCCTGGGTCTTGGGATCCCCAGTCCCAGCCCCAGTCGGAGGGAGCCAGAGCTCTCTTGGGAGGGCAGGGGGGATGGGGAGGGGGTACTTGGCCGGGTTCCCAGCCCGCCATCCGGGTCTCTGTGTGCCGCCACGGGTTCCCGGAGGCCCCAAAGGGCTAGAGAGCTACCGAACGCTCCCTCTTCTCCGGAAAAGGATGGAAAGAACTGGTCCTGGATCCCGCTGTGCCCCTTGCTTCCCTCACTCGTTGCGGAGTTCCTGTCAGAGGCACAGGTTCTGGCTCCGCTGGCTGTCTTGCCTCTCCTAAGCCCCTGTCCGAATCGAGGCCCCTCGGGCTGTAGTACCTGCCTCGACCCTTCTCCCGACCCCTAGCTGAGATCACGTCGCTCAGCTGGTGTCTGCGCCGTTGCTGCTAGTGGGCCAGGAGAACGGCTTTCCTTCCAACCTTCCCCGCACCTGCCCACGCCTGTAATGACCTTGTTCGACTATAGAGATGGTCGTTTGGGTTGAGGACGTTTCCTCGGAAATATTTTGAAGGAAATTCGCCTTGACTCCTGCTTAGGGCTGTGCAGACCACCCCGGAGCCACCAGGCACACAGAGACCGTTTGAATCGCTGCCTCGGAGGGAATCCAGGACTGTGGGAGATGCTATCTGTCCTGGTGGAACACTGGCAGAGTGTGAAATGTGAAAATGAGCTCACCTAAGCCACTGGCTAGTCAAATGACAAACAGCTGGGGGCAGTCACTAGTCCCCTAGATAATCTGCTGCGGGGAGGCGTAGAGACCTAGTGCCGCATCCCTTGCCTTGGGAAATATGCAGCCCAGGCGCTGTCACCACAACGGCTTACTTGGGTCCTAAAACTTGGAAAGAATCCTGACATCTGTCAGGCTACTGGACGCCAGGCCGCGCGTCGGTTGGGTAGTTTCCTAAAACGCGCTTCACTTAGCAACAGCCTCAGAGGCCCAGAGAACCCGAGAGGGCATCTGGAGAAGGCGGCAGGAGGGCAGGGTTACCGCACATTAACTTATTTGGGAGAAGGTGGGCTTGCCTAGGAAAAATGGACTTTGTCAGCTAGTTCTGCCAGAAAACAAGTGCTGGTGGAGATCGCCAAATCATTCGATTTTCTGAGACACGTCTTCCAGTCTGTGCCAGCTTAAGTATGCACACCCATGCACGGGCACACGCACACACACACACACATGCACACACAAACACACAGACATAAGAACCATGCACAGAACCATTCCAGATAGTTTACTTTAAAACCCTAAATCGCATATCTGTTCAAAGGACTGCAGCCCTTGACTGTAGACATTTTCTTCCTTCCGGCCAGAAAAGCAAGAGAACATAGACCAGGTGCAACCCAAACTTAAGGGGCTGGTTCAGAGACGCAAAATTTCCAGAAGAGGATGCCAGCTGGGAGCCAGGATTCTAGTGTCACCGGTCCGCCCACCCCAGAGGGGGCTGGTCTGCTCTATGCCAGCTCCCTCCCAAGTCATCACGGTATACTTTTAAATTCGTGCAGGAAAGGTTGGGGGGAGCTCCCAGCATGCAGGTGTCCCAGGATCGCCTGGTTTTTGCATTAGCGCTAAGGAGCTAGAAGCCTAGGTTTTTGTATTTTTTCACACTTCGGAATTACGCTATTCTTTTGATTCCCCATCTTTCCACGAGGCTGGGGGAAGGGGACCACACTGCGCGGACGCCGTATTTCACTCTCTGCCACTTCTGCCTGGCTCGCTACTCCTTCCGATCGGTCGCCTCGGGCGTCTCCAGGAGTTTCGAACGCTGTGCCACTCGCTCAGGCTGGCGAAGGCGAACGTCCGGGTTCCCTCTATCCGCAGCCTGGGCTCCCGAGACACTAGTCTTTGGCAGACAACATGACATGCGGGTGAATGTCCCGCTCCGAGTCTCGAGGCTCTGGCCAGGATGGCTGTAAAACAAAAAAGGAGAGGGACGGAATCCGTTAGCAGAGCCTACTCCCCGGGGAGGCGGCGCGGCTGCGCAGCGAGAGCAGCGCTCAGTGGTCCTGGCAGGTGCGTGGCCAGTGGAGGGGGCCTGGCGGTCCGCCCCGAGGACCGCCTCGGCTCCTCTCCGGCCACCGTCCCCCCGCCCCAACCTCCAAGAAACTTTTCTTTCACTTGGAGAGGCTCCGTGTTGCCATGAAAACGGATTTTCCAAGGGGCCCGACCCTCCCCCTCAGGGGCATCGGACTGGAAAAACCGAAATGGCCAGAGAGCAGAGACAAAAAGGGGCCGCTAAGCGGGGGCCTGGAGCGAGAGAGCCGAGGCCGGTTCACCCCCTCCGCCCCCCACACACTTCCCGCACCACCGCATGTGAGCGCCTCCGCCCGGCCCGGGCAGCAGGCGGCTGACTGCTCGCCTTCACTCAAGCCGGCGGAGAGCGTCACAACCCCAGTGCGCTCCGCGGTTCTGAAGCCTGTCTCCCGTGCCCCGGTCCCTCATCCCGGCTCCATCCTGGGCGCGCAGGCCCGCGGCTTCCCGGCAGAGGGTCCTGCTGGGACAGCGGTCGATTCCAGGGAGGGCTTCTCGGAGCCTCCGTCGCGCCCTGAGTCCCCAAGCTCGCCTGGGTAACTGGCGATGCTCTGTGTCCCTATCGCTGGCAGCAGAAGCGGTCGGAGGACCTCCGCGCAGACGGCTGGATGCTTTGCAGGGTGGCCCCGGTACCAGGCACCGCTCGGTCCTGATGGGGCTGCAAAGTTGCTTTCTGAACCCCGAAGGCGCCCCCTCTGCCCCCTCCCCCCAATCCTGCTCGCGCGCCCCCTCCCCCCTCCGTCACTTCCTCGAGTTTCGTTCTTTCAAACTTTTTGAGACAATAATTGGTGGTCTCTGAGCGGCTCCCTGGGACTCCCGCCTCCTGAATAACTCTCGTCACGTCACCGGGCCCAAGAGGGGCGTGGGGGTGAACGAAAGGGCTCCCCGAACTTTTTTTTTTTCTACTGGGGCCGCACGAGGACTCCGTGATGATTGGCTAGGGCGCATCACTGTGAGCCTGTCAATCACCGGGCCTCCCGGTGGCGAGGGGCGGACCGAGTCCCAACCCCGGGGGATCGGAGCAGGTATATATAAGGGAGCCGGCGAGCGCCCGGCCAGACTGCGAATGCGGCCAGCTCGAGACAACGCATCAGGTGCGAGTAGCCTGCGGGTTCCTGCCGACTTGGCGCGGAGCACTTTGGCAAGCCTGCCCTTCCCGCCTGACCCGCCGGCCCACCGGCCCCCGAGCACCCCTCCGACGGAGTCCCCGGGCCTTTTCACCGTGGCCGCTCCAGCTCCGGGAGCGCCTTCTCCTCCCGCCACTCTGGCGCACCTACTTCCCGCCCCGGCCATGTACAGCCTGCTGGAGACCGAGCTCAAGAACCCCGTGGGGCCACCCACCCCTGCGGCGGGCGCAGGTGGCCCCGCAGCCCCCGGCGGCGCAGGCAAGAGCAGCGCGAACGCAGGCAGCGGCGCGAACGCAGGCGGCGGCAGCGGCGGGGGCTCGAGTGGCGGGGGCGGGGGCGGCGACCAGGACCGCGTGAAGAGGCCCATGAACGCCTTCATGGTGTGGTCCCGCGGGCAGCGGCGCAAGATGGCCCTGGAGAACCCCAAGATGCACAACTCCGAGATCAGCAAGCGCCTGGGCGCCGACTGGAAACTGCTGACCGACGCCGAGAAGCGGCCGTTCATCGACGAGGCCAAGCGACTGCGCGCCGTACACATGAAAGAGTACCCGGACTACAAGTACCGGCCGCGCCGCAAGACCAAGACGCTGCTCAAGAAGGACAAGTACTCCCTGCCCGGAGGCCTGCTGCCCCCCGGCGCGGCCGCCGCCGCCGCCGCCGCCGCCGCGGCCGCCGCCGCCAGCAGCCCGGTGGGCGTGGGCCAGCGCCTGGACACGTACACACACGTGAACGGCTGGGCCAACGGCGCATACTCGCTGGTGCAGGAGCAGCTGGGCTACGCGCAGCCCGCGACCATGAGCAGCCCGCCGCCGCCGCCCGCGCTGCCGCAGATGCACCGCTACGACATGGCCGGCCTGCAGTACAGCCCCATGATGCCGCCCGGCGCCCAGAGCTACATGAACGCCGCCGCCGCCGCCGCCGCCGCCTCGGGCTACGGGGGCATGGCGCCCTCGGCCGCCGCCGCCGCCGCCGCCGCCTACGGGCAGCAGCCCGCCACCGCCGCCGCCGCGGCCGCCGCCGCCGCCGCCATGAGCCTGGGCCCCATGGGCACGGTGGTGAAGACCGAACCCAGCTCGCCGCCGCCCGCCATCACATCGCACTCGCAGCGCGCGTGCCTCGGCGACCTGCGCGACATGATCAGCATGTACCTGCCACCCGGCGGGGACGCGGCCGACGCCGCCTCGCCGCTGCCCGGCGGCCGCCTGCACAGCGTACACCAGCACTACCAGGGCGCTGGGACTGCCGTCAACGGCACGGTGCCGCTGACCCACATCTGAGCGCCCGCCTGCGCGCGCCGCCCCTCCGCCCCCATCCCGCCCCGCACCCCCAAGTTGGGACGCCTTGTTGTTTAGCTTTGCTTGCCTGGGACTGTTGCCTTGTACCGATGATGGGGAGGACAGAAAGTTTTGCTGTAGCTGTCGGGTTTTGTACGAAAGCGAAAAGAAGTCCAGAGCAGCGGAAATGGGACTTTCTAGAGCTCGCCTGCTCTTCGCCGCGGCCCCTCCCTCCCCTTTTGTAGGCTGGGAATCGCTGTGATGTTTGCAGAGAAAAAGCAGCCCCCCTCCTCCTCCTCCTCCTCCTCCTGGGTTCCTGGGTTTTTCTGTTGCATTTGAAAATGTTGTCTCGTTAGTTGTCTGTTAACCAAGGAGTGAGTGAATAAGAGAAACGTGCTCTCTCTGGGAGGCTGGCCTGAGAACGGCAACGCCTCCTCCCCTCGTCGCGTTGCATCGGTTTTCCTTGTGGGTTTTTGGGGGGCTGACCGCGCAGAGTGGCGCGGCAGCTCAGGCCAATGTTAATTTATAGCCAGGTGTGCGTGTGTCTCCCGCCTCGCCGCCCCTGGCCGGGGGACAGCTTCTGTCCAGTCCGCATTTAGGCTGTTGAGTTGGTGATTTCTGCCGTGATCTGTTTGATATTTCGTCGCGCTAATGTATTCGGATTTCGTTTGGGTGGTGGGAAAGGGGCTATTTTGTTTCAGGTTTTCCAAGGTTTTACTCTTAATTCCTAAGTGAGAGATCAATAAATTTTATAACCAACGTAATGGAGTCCTGATAATTTTGCGGGCCTGAAACTCTCCGCGGGTCGGGGAGGGAACCATCACTCGGTATTAAGAGCCATGGTCCCGTCCTGCGGGGGCAGGGGTGGGGGCAGCGAGCGTGATCCGAGAGGGTTTCTGACTCCTGGTCATCCGAAACACTCCAGCTCCCGATTCTTGCTACGGAAACTCCAAGGAGCAGGCGGTTGGTCTTCCGGGAGCGTGTGCGGGAGCCGGCACCCGCTCGCTGAGCCGAACACCCCGCGGCCATGCACTTGTTGATAGCGGGCAGCGCCCGCTGAAGGAGCGTCTGCCGCGGCAGCCACGCGGGGCGGGGAGTGGCTGCCCGCGGCCGCGGAAACCCGCCAGAAGTAGGGGGCACGTTTACCTTTGTGCACTGGGGCGGGAAGACATTTGAGCCGAGCAGAAATATTTACAAAACGAAAACCCTTCGGAAATCTCAATTATCCTATTAAAAATAAATGCTTACAGGGATCCCGAGCAGGAAGTAAGTGCATTTCAACCGTGGTGGCTGGAGCGGCAGGAGCTTCAACACTAGAACGCTGGGTTTTTAAAAGTGCACCTCACACTTGAAAAGATCTCTAAAACTCCTCCACTGGCTTTTTCTTTTTGGCTTGTCAACCCAGACCACCTATTTGTTTTCCAGAAGAAGCTCTCTCTCATCCCAAACCTCCAGCCCGCTTTCTACTCCTCCCCACCCCCCCTGGCTTCCCCCCAATCCCTGACCCTTAGGAATTCCACCGTGCCCCCCGAAAGGCCTTTCGTTTCGCGCCCGGCCACACCGCCCCAGTGTATCTGTTTGGGGCCTAGGAAGAAAACAAATAAAACCAGTGTTTTTTTACCCCCTCCTCAGCTGTTTGAGGTGATTTCCTTAATCCCTTTAATCCTGTTACCTCGCTATCCCAGAATAACTAAACTCGGTCTTTCCAATAAGCTTGGCCTGGTGCACCGTTCTTATCCTCATCCATTCTTGATCACAGGTTTCTTTGCTTGAGGTCTGCCGGGACTCTGGGCGACAGAATCTCCCATAAATTGGTCCGAATTCCACATTTCCAACCGGCTTCCTTTGTGCGGGCCAGCCATTCACCTGCGGGCCTGGGCGGGCCTCAGGGGGAGGGGCGGAGGCTTTCTACCGCTTCGGGGGTCGTGCCCGCTTTTTACACATCACTGCGGATCCTGGAGACTAAGCTCACCACGCCTCTCCAAGAAAGGTCGGGTCTTCCAGAGAAGGCAGCGCCACCCCTCCCCCGCAGACGGGGGCACTATCTCCGCCCCCCCCGCCCCCCCAACCCAACGCGCCCCACCCGGTACTTTGCAGCTCGAGCTGGGAAGGCAACCGGCGGTGATGCACAGACCCCCGCGCTGTGCCCTCCACCCCACCCTGTGCTCCTCCCGGGCCTGCCGCGTCCGGGACAGGGTTCGGGCGAGGTCTCCGTTCCACACCCTCCACTCTCCACTCCGGGGTCACAGACCCCGAGCCCCTCCTGGCTGGTGGGTGCTGCAACTCTTGCCGCTGGGATGGTAGCAAACCCACAGGCTGCCCGGGCGGGGAGCCCTCACTACTCCCCCTTCAACCCCCCACCCGCCCCGCCACACACACACACACACCGTCGCCCCGGTGCTCCAACGTCCCCCAGGGCCGTCCCTCTCTTGTCATCTCCACCCCCCTATTCATATCTTTCGCAGTGTTTGGGCCTCAGTAAAATACCTGGCTGTAGGTTACTCTGGGTTCAAATTGCTAGCGATTGTGGACACAAGTTTGGTCTGCAGTGACTCCAGGAAAGGGAGGGTGAAAACAAGCAGTTTCCCCCCACTGAGGGGGCGGTGCCTACGGGGGGAAGAAACTGACGCGGCTCCTTTCGGAGAGTCCATTGTGCTGCTGCTTTCTTAGAAGTGCCAGGGTCCCCCTTTCAGCGGGGTTCATATACTGCTCACTCCCTCTCGGAGCACCCGTGGCTTTGTGCTCCACTTGTCTGGTTTCCAACTTGTCTTTAAGAAAAAAGATTTCATCAATCAGCACATTTGCAGAATTTAAATATAGATGAAAGATCTCTCTCTCTCTCCTTCTCTCTTTTTAAACTTTGGTGTTAGGGAAGGGAGGCGAACTGAGCCTAAACCGGAGTGAAACTTCCATCCTCCAGGCCAGAGTTTTCCAACTAGAGCACCCCCTCCCAGCAACCACTCCTCCCACACACACACCTCTTGCCCGACAACTGCCCCTTCCTCTGTTGTACAGATTGGGGTTCTGGTAAGGTTTAACTTAAAATAAGGTTTCTTTCTGCTCTTAAGTGGTCAAACCCCAGCTCCTGCATCTTCTATCTTATTTCCCTAGATGAAACTGGCTCCTAAGGGGGAAAGAGTGCTCAGGATTGCTGAGCTGGGGCACAGGAGAACCAGACCCCCAGGCACGCAGGGCTCTCTGTTCCACCACAAGACAGAGAGAAACCCCTGAAATCCCAGCCCCAGCTGCCTCGTAAGCCCACAATGCAGTGGTGTCTCTACAGAAGAGGTCATTCCTGACACAGACACCTAGAAGCCAGGGCTAGGAGAAAGGAGATCTAAAGTGGGAAGCACGAGGTCCTTACACAGTAGAAGAGACCAGCCCATCTTTTTTAGCTTTCTCTTGACTGGGGGCCGTGGGGGCGGGTGAGGGGGGATACCTTGTGGTAAGAATTATCCCATATAGAGATTTTCTTCCCTGTCCTCTCCACACAGCTCCCCTCATTAATCTCCCTTCTAGAAATCTACAGTGGGGGAGAGGGCATCCAAAACGTAGACCAACATTTGTAAACAGATGTTCGTCACAAAATTCCTTAAATGGTAAAAGTTACGCACAAGCCAAATGTCCAACAAATAAGAAAATGTTGTTTAAAATACGTTTTCAAAAAAGGCTTCTTTGCAGATATTAAAAATTGTGTGCGGAGAGATTTTAATGACAGGGAAATGTTTAAAACACAAAAGGAAAAGAGCAAGATACACAAAAGTATGTTCAGTGTGTATGACCTATTTAGCAATAAGGATATATGACTGGAAAAATATGCAAAAATGCAGGGTAGTATTATGAATACTGGTTAGTCTTCCTTTTATGTTCTCATACTTTCCAATTTCCTCTGATAGGATTGTATTCCTGTTATCACCAGAAAAGTCAGGTTAAAAATAATTCTCTCCCTATCACAAATACGGAAATGTGTCTCCATGTGAAAGAAGAAAGTTCCAGCTTTCTCTTCATTTGTTTTGGGGTGAGGAGGGGGGCAGGGAGCCCCAGGAGCAGTAATCCTCCAGTTCTCCTCCTTGGGGTTGGGGCCTGCAGTGAACACAGGCAGGACGGAGCACACCAGAGCAACCCCCCGCCAGGCGCCCTCCTCAGTAAGCAGGAGCAGGATCAGATTAGTGACGGCTCCTTCATTCTTCAGACCCACTCACTGGAGAAAAAGACCTCCTTGGGAGCCAAGCTGAACAGCCGGGGCTGTGGGAAGCAGGGGCCACTGAGGAACCAGAAGGCACATAAACCTGGGGGCCTAAGCAACCCTCACTGCCCTCTTAGGAGAGGGGCAGGAAGTAAGCCCTTACTTAGGTGGGGTCCCAGGCCCAGTGAAGGAAGGGCTGGGTGACTACCCACCAGCGAATAGAATGCGCTATGCTGTGTCCCTCTGCCCTTGGCCACCCTCCTCATCCACACTGCTGACATTTCTTGCCAGACCACCGCCGTGGCCTCTGACCTGCTCCTGCTTCCACTCTGCTCCCCACTGTTCGCCTACATGTTTTCTCCATAGAATGTTCCCTCCAACTTCCCAAACACAAACCCTATCGTTGTCGCTTCCCATCTTAATAACCTTCTGGTGGCTTCCTACAGATGGCTCTTGAAAAATTGTACCAACTCCTCCAAAGCTTTGCTTGATCCAACGCCTGCCCATCTCTCTGAGCTCAACTATTTTCCCTCCCTCAACCCCTGCCAGGATTCCTTTGGGCAATGTCTGTTGAGTAAATAAATCATAGTTCCTGATAGTTTCACATCTAAACCAATTTTAATGGCCATCCATTGACTAAGATAAAGATTGCTATACACGGTAGCCATCTCATTTTGTGAGATTTCATCTTGCGGGATTTGCCCAAATCTGTGCATAAAATGCAGATTTCCTGATGATAAAACCTCCTAGCAAAAATATATCATTTCTTTCCTGCCTTGGGGCTTTTGATGTGCTTTTCCCTTTTCCAGGAATGTTC